GTAAGGGTGCCGTCACATGCGGCGTAACTTGCGTAAGCGTAACTGCGGCGTAACATGTGCCGACCAATCACATCATCTCATTTGAGTATCAACTTTCGTCTAGTTATTTTACGCTCTTTACGCTATTGTCATTACGCCAAATCCAATTTCTAGCGGAAGTAGCGGAACTAGCGATAGATAGTGCAGACTGGTGCAGGCTGGTGCAGGATTGTTACGCACAGGACGGATTGTTACGCACAAGAGAGAAGAATGAATACGGATCAATTAAAGGTAAGTTAATAAATAGTTTTGTATAGAATTTATTATAATTATTTATTATAATTTATTATATGAAAGCTGTGATAGCTGCATTCGGTCATATCCGATCCACTGTTCACGGCATGTCGATACGAGGTTATGATGGTTTTAAGATCTCAATGCCTTCCCTTTGGCTTTTTCATCCTAATGCATCATTATTCACATTGCATGCTTGCCTTTTAGCACAAATGTGGGTATTGCGGGAGACTGTTCAGCTTTACGAATTTTATCGAGCATGAATGCTTTAAGCATTATGTGGAGGATGAAGATCGCATTTGTGTGGATGAAAATTATGTTGTGACAATATGTACGTTTACTACATCCTTTTATTCTTCACGCACATTTTATTGTCTCATAACAAAAGAATTAAATTTATCTATTTGTTAAATAATCAAAGGCACTGCAAAGACTGCCGAAGGTCCTGCATGTAAAGATACTTTGGATGAACTCTTGATTGGGGCTGTGAAGGAAAGGAGAGCACTTTACGACTATACTATACCTGCTTCTCAGAGAACAAATTTGCGTAAAAATGCGTTATGGTTAGAAGTATCCAATCTTTTAGGAGGTACTATATCTAAATTTATTTCTATCTCTATATCTCTATGTCTTATCTTTTGTGAATACACATATAGATATTTTATACGTTATAAATCAATTATACATTACATGTGTATATGTTTGTTAGGTGCTCTTGGTCCAGAGGAAGCTAAAGCTCGCTGGAAGTATCTGCGAGATAATTATGCAAAAGCTCGCAAAAAGGCAAAAGCCTACATTCCCAGTGGATCGGCAGCTAAAATTGGTGGACTAAAGAAATCTAAATTTAGATTTTATGACCTCATGACATTCTTGAATGACTTTCTTGAAACACGGCAGTAAGTTCTTTCTCTTCAATATGCAAAATTATACCACTTTCTTAATTTGTCAAGTATATTGAGAATACAGCTTGTTTCATGTTCGACATACTCATATAGGATGCTGTATGTAAGTATATATAAATATATATATATATATATATTTATTTATTTTAGGACTGTCAGTTCATTGCCAGACGTTACTGAAAGTCAAGTATATGCAACATCTACGCAATACGAGGACGATAGTGTTGCTTCATCTTCACAGTTCACCGATATTCCTTCTCAGACTGCTATCCATACTTCTCCAACGATGCAGACTCCCATTCGTGTTTCTCCAAAAACACCAATCTCGTTGTCAAAATATCTCGTTTCTCCGCGAATCTCAACAGAAGACAGCGTCTCTCCAGAAATACCGCCAGCCCTCAGTAAAACTTCACCAATACCGGCCACAAATTCGAAAAGTTAGTAGTTTGTTTATATGTTTTTCCTCTCGTTTTCTTTGACGATAATAGCTTTATAATAACGATAATAATCGTTATTATAAAGTATCGAAATATGTGTATCACAGCAATAACATTGCTGTCTTGTTTTCAGGACCATTGCAAACTGCTGACTACGATTTAGATAAACCCCCCCGGCAAACCGCTGCAAAGAAAAGTAAGTTATCGCAATTTAGGGTGCTTTTCAATTAACGATACAAATATTATTCTGTCTTTATTGCTCTTTGGATATTGAACAAAGACAGAATGATACTTGTGTCAATTTGTGTTATCTACTAATAGGAAACATCGTTAATATGTCCAAAAATATTAGTTTAATACCTACGAATGAATTAGCGTACGGTTGTTGTCAATTAAAATTTACTTTATATAAATTCTACATTCTTGTTGAATGTAGAAATGTTTGTATTGCGTGTCTTTACGCGAACATATAACTCAGCTATATTAGTTAGCCCGGTTTATTCGTACGTCTATATTATGTTTTAGAGCAAAAGGGCGAAGATTTGCAAACAGCGTTGATAAAAGCGTTGAAAGAGGATGACTCAACAGTGGAGCCAGCGCAAACTACTGATCCGCTAGATGGATTTTTAATTCGATTGGGAGAAGGTATGCGAAGGTTGCCATATCGTGACAGAGCTCGCCTGGAAATACGATTTCTAACATTGCTTGCAGAGACGGAAGATTCTTGTGAGAATAAAAAAGAATAATCGATGCGTTAATTGCAATATTAATTAAAAACGTTTCCTTTCATTTATTACAAATTAGTTTTACATACAGAGGCATTCATACATACATTACGTATACACACAGCGCACTCGCTCTTACTTATAAGTCATCCGCGAAAACGCAATACGTTACAAAAAAATAATCGTTTCAACAGGTGGATGACAAATATAATAATTATAGTTATATAAGTATATAAGTTTTAGTTCAAAATTTTGTACTGGTTTACGCAAACATATGAAATAAAAAGTTTAACAATGGCATTGTATATTCTTAATGGCTGTATAATTTTTTCTTCAGATATTCTTAAAAAGTACGCTGTCTTATTTTATGTAGTTGCACAGTTCTGCACTCATTCGGAAGAAACGAAAACAATCGCCCAAGTCGCATTTCACAAGCTTCCCCTTGTTAATATCAAATTGGAATTATATCAGCATGTTTTACAACTGAAGAAAGTTAAGAAGCTTGGCTTCTGAGCAATACTTACGGAAGTCAACGTGTATATTAACGATAACATCTCTCGTTGGGAAATAGTAAAATCCTGCATAGTAAATGCTAGTATATCACCTGAGCAGCATGAATGTCTATTAATTAGCAATTGTTCTCGCTGTGGAAGTAAAAGCTTCAATGTGCAGAGAAAGCGTTAACAGCGTGAAAAACGTAGGAACTAGCAATTTGTCATTTACGATTGGAAACTGTCATCTATGTGGTGCTAATGACTCATACAATTTTGAAAAATCGTTGAGGTATAATTGAAGGTATCAGACACTGGACGTATCCCTAACGTTTCGTCTCAATTTCGTAAAACGTCGATTTGTGCTCTGTTACAATAAAAAAGGAGAAAAAAGAAAGTAACAATGTAGTATAGTAGATAGTAATAGAATAATATACATATATAACTTGGGGGGCATTTGCAGTAAGTCGTGTGTCTTAAGTTCTCCGTACACTGAGCGAATTTTTATTTTCATTGTAGAAACTTTTTAGGAATACGAGTAGCGATGGTGGATGGAAAAGGTATGAAGTGGTTACCACAAAGGCGAGTATGAAGGCAAAATTGCGCGTTCATCGTATTTTTATCCACGTTGGACCGCACTTGTACAAAAGAGAAAGCGATTTTTATGGATTTTTTCGATGCACACCAACAGTCGCCGCACTGTCCGTTTCTCCTAGCGTAAAACCGCCCATATTACTATTTGCTCACGGTTCGATTTTACCATTATTCCGCGTCTGGTGCGGAAATTCTTGGTCGCCGGCATATTTGCCGAATAAAATCCTCGCCAAACTAATTTACCATTAGGTTGTCTAAAATTTTTACGTATCAGACATTTTACGCTCTTATGCTCCTTTATATTTTGAATTGATTTGTATATATATAATGCAATAGTAGCTTAAAATTGTACACGATACTTTCGATTGAAAAAATCTGCTCGCGCGTTTGGATTGTCACGATATTCAAAATACTATCATCAAAAGACTGTTTAAATCAGCGTAAAAATATGTGGAAAAAGATAGTGAAACATAAAGAAATTGTTACCTGACAATATGCAATAGATTAGATGGCTGTGAAATGTTTTGATCTTCAATTTGAAATAATTATTATTAATCATAAATCTAGTATAATTTAGGAAGGGCAAATAATTTTTATTAATATAATTATAATATCAGATTATTATAGGATAATGGAAATAATGGTGAAAATTATCAACAAGTAATTATTCATATTTTCGTCCAAAAAGTTACCAAATATACAATGATATATTAATGAATGCCATTAATTAAGAGGGATATTTTAAGGATGATTTCACTCAATTTAATCATTATTTTGTATACTTTTAATTAAATGGAATAATGTGAATAATTAACAAAAAATCAGATTCTACGCTTTGGTCATTAAAATGCTTTATTGTTTCTTATAACGATATTACTATGTGCCACGAGTATGAAACTAATTAGCGTTTTAATATTAGATATAATATAAATAATAGTTACAATTAGTGACTTTTATCTAATACCTATCAAAATTTGTTTTATTATTTTTACGAATATATCGGCGATTACGCGTAAAAGGTTTTCACGCTCTAAGTGCAGTCTCATTCTCACGCCGATTTTACTCTACGACGTCGTTTAACCGCCGATGAAATCTGACGTAACGAGGAAAGTTCGATAGGTTTTAAGTCAACAGCGAAAATAAGTTTACAGCCAAATACCAGGTAGGAAGGACGCATTAACGTTAGAGAGCGATAATAGGAAAAGTCTCTGACATTCGTGGGAAGTGCTTTGAGTTCTTCGGAGAACCTAATGTAGCGTCTTTTAAATTCAGAGTTATGTTTTGCAGTCCTTGTCGGAAAATTCTTGGTAGGTTCCTGATCGCAAGTTGCAAATTCTGATAGAGACTTGATCAAATTCTCGATTTTTCAATTAGAAATCGTCGAGTAGACCTTTTTCCCACTGCCAGGGTACTGCCCCGCTGTTTTCGAAATATGCAGCGAAATCGTCTCGATTTCTAGAGGCAATTCGGGCGTGGGCGTTAGTTCTGCCTGCGTCGTTCACTTCCTGTAATGCACCGTTTATCACGGCTCTCTCTTCGTTGAGCATGCCTATATAATGCCTTTCAGAGAGTGGCAATTTGTTTTCTTTTTGGATAATAAAATTATGCAAGCATATAGTCGCTTGAACAATTTTGACTGCAGTAGAAACAGATGCAATTATCGATCGACGATAAATTCGCCATTTTGCTACCAAAATGCCGAAAGCGCTTTCGATCATTCTTCGTGCTCGACTGAGACGGTAATTGAATATCTTTCTTTGACGGTTCAGATGTCCGCTTCGTGGATACGGTCGCATCATGTAACGAGTCAAAGCGAATGCCTCATCCGCTACTAACACAAACGGTAATGCGGGCCCAGAAGCTTCAATCGGTCTCGGTTCTGGCAAATTCATTTGGTTTCTTTCGAATCGTTGGCCAAAGTTTGAATGCGCGAAGATACCGCCATCGCTCTGTCTGCCTTCCGCACCAATGTCAACTAGTGTGAAACAGTAGTTGGCATCACAAACCGCTAGTAAACTGATGCTGTGATTTCTCTTGTAATTGTAGAACGTTGAGCCGCTGCGAGGAGGTGACTGAAATGGAAAATTACAATTTTTATCTTTTAAAGTAAATATAAAATACATTATCTTAACATCGA